GGAGACTACTATTTAGGGCTTAGGGATTGTAGAATAGATTAGAGCTGAGGAAGAGCTTCTCCCCAAGTTGGCGACTTCGCAGCATCTCTTAGGAGCTGAACCCCTGACCCCAGTTGGTTTACCCCCCGGGTGCACACCAACGACAACACAGGTTCATCAACATCCACGAAACACAGATCCGGAATTCCACCTGCTCAGCCCCTCGTTTACTAGTCTCCCTGGGGTGTAGAAGATGATTCAAGCTTTGCTCATTAAGTCCTAAAAAGTCACGCCCCCCCATATTCAGGAGAGATACCGCTCAGTGCTCAGATGTGGAGGGGCAAGCAGGTTCTCCAAGTGGCCGTCTTTCAGGTCACGACGAAGTCATGGACCAGGTTGGGGGATTAAGGATTACTGGGTTGCTGTTAAGGNNTATATACCCTTTATGGTAACTTAACTTAAGTTCCTTAACAGCAACCCAGATTAAGGCCTGCTTTGTCCACAATGACCATCCAGGCTGGGAAGAGTTCCACGCAGGCTTTGACTTGTGGGGTTCTGCTAACAATGGTCAAAAGCACGTCGTGTCTCATGGGGTTTACGGCAGATGGGTTCTAGGGCTGAGGCCTCAAGGCACAGGACGCAAATAGACGACTTGAGATGCAAAGACGTCGACAACAACCTGCAACAAGCATACAGATTTGACAGGCAAGTTAGATGCTTTTCTGGCAACGTCAACAGCGCCATATTCCTTTCCCGTTCTATTGCAAATACGATGCCCGTAGGCCACACGTCCAAAAACTGTGGCAGCTGCCGAAGAAGCCTTGAGTCATGTGATCGCACAGCAGACAACCACTAAGTGCCCGGGCCATCGAGGCGTTGTGCTTGAGTCCTGAACTAGCAAGGAGCACCTGGCAAGGACCCTACAGTACCCCTACAGCTATCGTAGGACTGTTGTAGGATCCTCTTCTGGGGCTTCAGGACACCAAGCAATGCTTTGCTATCCACACGCAGATTGAGAGGTCGCCATGTCCTCGGAGCAGCGCCGCTGCCGTCGTGCTTCTGCCTCCTGTGGCCGCGGGCTAAAGTCGCCATTTCTGAGTGCATCATTGGGAGGCTGATGGATGCATACAATATGTTGTTAGGCTAAGATGCTCGAAATAACTACGGGTGTTTCATCTGCCGCAGTAGGGTGCGTATGGCGTCGTGAATACTTAGGTAGTCAGCTAGGTATTTGCGAACATCCAGTTAGTGATGATGTGAGCTTGCAGAAGATTGGGCCAGAATTACTGGAAGATGTCTTCGATGATGGCGGCCAAAAATTGTTGTAGTCACGAACATGAGCAGTGCTTTTCAGATGTAGCTCCTTTTCAATGACATTGTGCTGAGGGCTACAACACAAGGATCTTCTGCGCAACCGCGAGCCCTCAAAGCACTCGCTGTCACAGTGCAGCAAGCCGTTTCCCATCAATCATGTAAAAGATGTCGGTGTCCTCGGCCTCCTGCCGCTGCTCGCGGAGAGACTTCATCCTGGCCCAACTTCATCGGAACTTATAAGGAGAACAGTACCGCAATGTAAGAGCTACATGGGATTCGGACATAGTCATTTATGGCTACGCGTGAGCTCTTTGGGGATTAATTATGCTGGTAACAAGCCATCCAGAGATTGCATTGGTTGTCTGTTGCACGCAGCGCTTAATATCACTTAATGCTTGGCATCATGATGTAAACCCAACAGTACGACTCAAACACATCCGCTCAGGGAACTCTTAGTGAGCTGTAAATAAAGGCTGGAGGACACAGGACTCCGAGGATAAGACCAAAGGTTTGCTGCATTGAGTGCCGAGTTTCAGGGTCTGGGTATAGGGACTTTACAGTTTTGGGCTGAACAGGTCAGACAGCCAGATTCAAATCCTAAACCTCAAGCCCTAAACCCTAAACTCTTGACTTCAAATGGTTGACAGGCATCCTTGCAATGGGGCCTGCGCCATCCCTCTTCACTCAAATACATCCCAAGGCCTTGCTTGGACAACTCATGGGAACAAGAAGGGGTCAAGCGCTAAGGGTGGGCCTGTAAAAAGGAGAGAAATTCAACAAACCGGAAGATATACAAGGTGAAAAAAAGAACGGGCTCATCATACTAACAAGTATCAGGAGGGCAGACCCCTTTTCTTGGGCTGGCGTGGAACGGCATGTAGACCGCTGTGAGACAGGACATTCGTCTTTTCTCGCCCCAGTTGGGGTTTCATGCTAGTTTGGGCAGTGTAGCGCTCTTTGGTTAAGACTTGTTCTCAATCACGTTTTGCGATTAAATAGTCGGTCTTCATGACTCTGCGCCCTAGATTCCGTATAAACCTAGGGGACAGGTCGACCAGTCTACTTGCATTTGGCCTGGAATAAACATTAACATAAACCATATCCTGCTTCACATGTGCTTCCGCCACCTACAGAACCGCGTGAGACCTCAGCTCTGACGCCATGCCCTGGTGCTTCCCCTTTTTTGCTGGAGGCGCACGCGTCCTGAGAATCTTTGGTGAAACAGCTCCTGACCTTGACGTGCTTCAGGGAGACAGACGTTATCATCATGATGATTCCTCTGCTTCCTTGGGAATGATGTAGAGTTCTAGTGTGCTTACTGCAGCCGCTGCTAGCATTCATGCTGTCATTCTGCCCAGCCACAGGGTATGAGTACTGACAACCCACGCGAGCAGTCAACAAACCACGTAGAGAGATAGCTTACCTGTATCCTGCACTCCATGCTTGATGCTGAAGCAACTCTGTTCTTACCGTTTCTTACCCTTCACAAGAATCTCGAAAACACATTTCTTTGTGCTGCTGGACGTGTCTCCGTCCTTGAATTATCAGCATTGCGCGAGGTGCTGCGGTTCTACCGCTTCCGGGCTTTGGACGGTGAAGACGCAAAACTTTCCACCGGCTGGGTGGCTACACCTTCTACGGTTCAGAGGAAGATCACCGCCCGATCCTGGGGGCAATCACATGTCTTGAATGGACAGAGAAGTTCCCGCTAGGGCCACCTGGCTACCTTCCTTCTAGCCCGCGTGCCGCTATTCAGCGTGCCAAGCCCCTCCTCGCCCTCCCTTCCTTGGTTCTATCTTGCGGCGGGGCCCGCATTAGTGCTGAGTAAGGGTTAAAAACGATCCACAGCCGCTTTTCGTTTTGAGCAATAAAAACCTCAAAACCTGCAAGTCAGTACGTGCCCATTTGGAAGCAGGTTAGCTGGCTTCCCTCTGGTTACCACATGTAGCAGCCCATTCAAAACTTGGGAACTTTGCTTCGCACTTTGCGATCCCCTGTACCCGTTTGCAGAACCACGCGTTTACGGCTTCCAACTAAACCTGCGCTTGTCATTATGTGAGGTCTTTCAGTCTTCTGCAGGATACTGATCGCAATGTCTTGTGCCCCCTGGCTGATTGTCCGTGAAAACGTTGTTCATGAAAAGCGACCAAGGTACAACAAAGGTCTTGCATGGTCCCTAAATGCAACACTTATCTGGCACTAGCCCCCCCTCAAGCGGGCCTTCTATGTTGCTTTGGCAAAGAAACGTGCGGAACACAGTACGTGCGTCACATTGCCATCAGCTAGATCAAACCCTCGTTCCTGTCGTCCCCTTCCCTTTTGCGAATGGTCCTCCATGAGTCTGGAATCTCTTTCATCTCATACTCGTCCTGCCACTGCTGAACAATGCTGACTGTCATAAGCCTGTCCCCCTAATAGTAAAAGGGCCCCCCCACTAATGTATCTGATTAAAAATCGTATAAGAATTGGATTGAATCTAATAAGGGGCTATTTCAAATTGGGGCCTTGTTAGGGACTATTTCAAATTAGGGCCTTATCAGGGACTATTCCGAGTTAGGGCCTTACTAAGGACTATGGGGACTATTCCACAAGTTAGGGCCTTGGAATCTGTTTCTTTTTGGGATTCTGTATAGATTCCTGTATAGAGATGATCAAAAACAATCAACATCTAGGAAATCAAGGAGATCCTAATCCTTCAGAGTTGTGCCAAAAAACCCTTAATTCAGAGGATCCGAGCGGCAATTAACTTTAGCCGTGGCCCTTTTAAAAGTAGTTTTGGGAGCAGATTTCAGAATTTGGAAATTCTGGCGAGCCCGTATTTAATATAAGGGGGGGTGTACTGTTAGGGGGAAGCGATTAACTGCACGAACTAGTGTGGCAAAGCCGTGCTAACAAAACAATAGGCACAGGGCGTCAACAGCATACAGGGCTTCCCGTTGCAAGCCGATCGGATGTTTTTTTTCAAGTTGCGGGCCGTGCTCGAATTGAAAACAGCGAAAGAAGCAACCGGACAATCTGTTCAGCCATAAACTCCTTCGATGTCCTTTACCTAGACTGAGCAGCACAGAAGGACCTACATATCCAAACAAAGAAACTACAAACCGCTAGTCTAATGTCAGAGCGGTGACACTGATTCAGTGATGCTTGAGCCACTGGGACGAGCTACAACCTGTTTAGTTTGACCGCAGCCCTAATGCCCTCATGTGTGAGAGGTACGAGGAGTTGTGTGTCATTCTATATCCAGGATGGGTGATAGAAGCATGTTAGGTTGTCACCAGTAACTGCCACAAGTGACGTGACGAACGGTGATCAGAAGTAAGGAATGCCAAGAAGTCAGCAAAGCCCGATGGCATAAAATGAGCCCCCAGTGTGGCAATAAGGCTTCTAGGCCTGCAGAGTCCCGAAATTAATGGGGGATTGTCAAAATTATGGTCCCTTTTTGGGTCCCTATTATAATACGGGGCCTAACTTAGGAGACCCCAAAAAGGGACCATAATTTTGACAATCCTCCTAATGTCAACTCCTGGGTCCCCAATGAGCTGTCCTCTGTTCCCTTCAGGAACTCACGCATGGCTCGGTGTTCCTCCTGCAAGGATTCACGAACCTTCACGAAACAATCTTGAAAGGAGGGTGCCATGGGAACGATGCATCCCTTAAGAACGTCTGACAGCCTTAGACGACTGGGTCAAATCACAAGTATCCCAAAATGGAAGCATTTATGTCTAACAACACGCATTCAAAGCAATTCCCTCAGCTAGCTTCTCAAGTAATGGTCTCTGCCTCGCAAAGAATGTATCCTCCGGGGAAGCGGATTTGCTGGCCTGAGTGCTGTTGCGCCTTTGGCATTGGTAAGGTTGAAGGGCCACCCTGACTGACCAGTGATAATCACTTCGAAGCTCATCAAGTACAAGAACTCAGACATTTGAGGACAATAACAATTAATAGTAGTAATAATAACACAAGGAATAATAGTCATGACAGTAATGATAGTAAGAATGGTAAACATAATAGTAATAATAATAATGGACAAGAACCCCTGGTGATCATAGGGCCCTGCCGGCACTTCTTGGTCCTCCAAGCTCGCCTCCCGCTTGCTGATCGTGCGCGCTCGCATGTCCCTCAGCTCAAACCTTGGTGCTGCGAACGGTGGTGTTCTACTTCTCCCCCATCCTCACCCCTTCATGTAGTAGACCCCTGATTAATAAACCCATTCCCCTTAACAGGGATTATAATAGGGACTTTAATACTAAGGCCGTTGAAAGGAAGGGGCTTATTAACCAGCAGCAGATGCTTGTTTGACCCATCTGCTATTTTCGGTCTTCACGGCAAGTTGTAGCCTGAGCACCTGCATGCTCGACGCCTAACGCCCAGCATTCGGTTCGAAGAAGTGCTGCCTCCCCTAAATCCTTCCAATCCTGGAGCCTCTTAGTTCAATGGTCCCGGCTGTGTTGACTTCAATGAGGCGGCGTTCAGTAGGGGTCGGCCAAATTGTATCAGAGCAGGATTCGGTTGGGTGGACGTTTTGAATGAGATCGTCGACGGCATGGATGCAGGATCGTGAGTTACCATACGTTGGCGTGCGCAGTGCAAAAAATATTCCACTTCTGATTGAAAAACCGAAGCAATGCCAGCTGCAGGCAAGTTGCTGACGATCCAAGATGACCGTAGTGACAGTAATGGACGCAAACAGCGCAATCGTCAGGGGAATACCCGCCGTCAACATTCCTGTACGACTGGCCGTAGGGACTTAGTAGGATCTGTTCTTGCGATACTGCAGGCCTTTCACTTCCAGGCAGGAGTGACGCGTAAGGAGAGTCATTCTTTCAGAGCTTGTTAGTGCTTGCTCGTTCCCCTCACCTTCAACAGCCCTAAACTCTTTCTCCACGCGAGACAGCCTCTGCAACCCGTCAACCTGCAATCTCCTAACCCTGCAGGTGCAGAACTAGAGGAATTCGGAATTCAGAACTCAGGCTCCTGTTCGCTCATCGAATCGCACCGCCCGGCGCCACCAGAAGCGCACGAGCGGAAAGCTCTGTGCACGCCTAGGTTGGCACAAACGGCGTGAGAAAACAAAACTGAATCCTAAGCCCTACGCCCCAGAGCTCAAAACTAAACCCCCTCACACCCCATAGATCCCGAATCTTTTCCACCCAGGTGCCGAAAGACGTCATATTTGATGCCTAGCATGCCAGGCTCCCATGTGGCCCAGGCTTGAGGCGAAAATTGCTGCAGAGCAGTGTAGGGTTTGGAGTTTACATGGGTTTGAGAAGGTTTTGGGGATCAAGCGTTGGAGGAATCCCAGATAGAGGTTTCTCAAAATCGTGGGCCGCATTTGCTCGGGAGGTTGCTGTAATGAGGATCCAATTCTTTTGGGGATTGTTGAGGTATCTGGAGAACCTAATTTTGCGAATACCCCTATTGTTCGGAATTTGGTCTGAATCTTCCCTCACCAGCCCCAAGTCCCTCCCAAATCAGGGTCAGCATAGCCAATTCGTAGATCCCTTGACTTGCAAATTCATGCAAAGACTCTGATCAGACATGATCGTCAGGATCTTGCTATGTGTCCGCAACGAAAAGAGGTGGATCAATCAGGAGCCTGCCCAGAAGCCAATACCCTGAACCCTGCCCCCTTTCCCTCCCCCCCCTTCGGCGCGCCGTGGCGGCGACTTCGTTGGGGTCACAGCTGCACGACCCGTCCAGCGTGGCGGCCGCCGAGCGCCAGTACCTGCTTGGAGAGTTTCAAGCTTTGCTTGGTGGATTGCACATGGGATCCAAATATTTTGGGGGGCGGCAGGTAGAGAGACACATCCATGTCATACGAGGTTGCAGGGCCATGCTGTGTACAAACTGAACCTAAAGAGTCACGTCACGTGTTGTCATGGCTTGCCTCCGGCTCTAGAATCTCAACAAACGATCATGGCTAGAGATTCACCAGGCAGTTTGGAGGCCTGGGTCTCCAACATCATTACCATATAAAAATAAAGCATATCTATTTTTGTATCTGATTTTGAAAATGGGTAATTGGCGAATTTGTCCTGATCTATCCTGACTTTGGCTCAGTTCGAGTTGACAGGAAGTTTGTTAATTCAAGATATCATTGACAAAAGAACAACGATTTTTCACGTCCGGCAATTACACAAAGATAATACGCTGGAAGGAGAGGCCCGTTCTGGCGGTGGAGATAGCCCTGTCAAGTCGCGGGCTTGAAGAATTTGGACTTGAGTCTGCCATGCAGGGTGTATTTGGCGTCGTGGGGTCTGTATTTGGGGCCAATACTGCAGGTCTAGGATGAGCCTTGTCACTGCACGGATTTGGCAACGCTTCGAGTGTGCGAACTGGAAGGACTAGTGCCCGAGACGCAGGTTTCCATTGCACTCCCCTCGTCAGCTCAGTACAGAACCGTGACATCGATTCTGATTCCTGCAGTAGTGGCATTAACTGTTTCGAAGCAATGCCTTCAGCTTCGAATGCCTTCCCCAACCCTAGCTTGAGAGAAAATATCCTCGGAAACCAGCCGCGAAACTCCATGGTCTTCAACTGAAATGCTCCGTGCTTGAGATTTTCTGGGCATTTGCTTAGATGAATTAGCCATCCCAAGCCAGATCTTGAGGACTCACATGAGCTATAGTCTAAACTCCCTAGAGTGGGTTATATAAGGAATTATATAGGGGAGTATATCGTACTGGTTATTAAGGGTGTACTAGGAGTTTAGATTATAGCTTACATGAAGTCGTTGTGTTAACTTGCCTGGGGACTCTAGAGGGTCACGAATACTCTTGAGTTGTGTTTCTGCATACTGGAATCAAAGAGGGAATATGGTATATGGGGAGCATATATAGAGATTATGTTCATATACTTCCTTATTCCTTATTAAGAACCAGGAAGTCCGGGGCGGCAAATGCATTTGGATTCTTCTTACAAATGCTACATTCCAAAGGAAGGACTAATCTTACTCACTATAAGGTACTCTAGTAGAACCTCTAAGAGACCTACTCACTTACACAAAGATCTCATTTTGCGGTCCCAATTGGAGACCAAACATACACTCACCACCAATATTTCGATAAACCCTATATACATTCACCCAAAACCATGATAAAACACAACTATTCTATCATTATCCGGCATCATCCCATGGGGCCCTGTATAAGCTCAATTCATGCCCCACTTTCTTTTCCATCTGATTCATTCTTAATACCAAAACCCTTTCACAACTAAACCTGGGCAGCTTCAGCTGAAAAAAATGTGGCCCCTGATGCCTGGTGTGGGAGCATCCTCGGGGCTCCAAGCCTCTGCGCCTGCCTCTCCTGTCACGTCTTTTTTTGAGGGGGAGGGGGGAGGAGTGGGTTTGGGTTGGTGCCTTACTAGTTTAGGGTTTAGGAGTTTTAGGGTTGGTCCCTTAGGGGATTTAATCGTTCGCGATTTAGGGGCTTCTAAAATTGATGTATTCCCTGTGTCCCAGGTCCTGAGAAAATCATTGCTAATAAAAACTGTTTTGGTATGCAGCGGGCTGCTCTGCTGGAATGACCCACACAGATTCGGTGGCCGTTTCATGCCGCGAACGGACACGCTACTTGTCAGGCTTCACCGCAGGGTAAACAAAGACAAGGGCCTTATTGGCAGTTTGGGATTATTTGGCTGATTTAGGGCTAGCAAAGATGATGAGGGCCTCCTGAGGCTAATGAAACCTATTACGACTCATTAGGCTTATTAGGGCCCGTCATGTGTGGGGGGGCTGCATATTAGCGGGGCCGATGGTAGTCCTATGACTGAAGGACAGCTTTAAGCTATCAGCGAAGTTCTCATGTCAGCCTAGTATAGCTGTAGCTAGCCCATGATACAACACAACAATCATTGCCATAGCCATGCTCCTTCCCAGCGGTCATAGGGATGTTCTGCTGTGTAGTCTTGATTTCTCCGCTCCTCGATTCCCTACAGGGAACCAGCAAGTTAGCCCAAAACCTCAAATGCCCCTATAAGCCCCCAACTTCTAGTTCATATTCCACTTGCTTTTCCGCTCCCTTCACCAACAACCTCCCAAAACCCCAAACCCTGTAAGAGGACCCCAATTTAAACACCAATAGACTATAATCCTTATTATGGGGGACCCCAAAAAGGCATCCCTAATTTTCGGAAACTCCCATATCCCCTATATATAATATAGTAGTTTCCATTTTCTTTTCCATTATCCCAATATAACCCCAATATAACCCCTAGGTGCAGTCCTCGTGCTGGGCTCAAGCTCTTTGACGACTTTGGAGATGGCGGAGGGCTGTGATGGGGCCAGCCTTGCAGGGCTTTATACCCAGACCCCCTAAAGTATCCAAAAAATGGAACCCCCTAGTAATCCCCTAGTTTCCCCAATGTAGTAATGGGCTCATCTTGGGGGAGTTCCATTTTTTGGATCCTTTAGGGGGTCTGGGTAGTAAATATGGAGAACCAACAAATGGAAACTGAAATGGAAGCTGCTCTTCAGGGTTTAAGCTGTAGGGCAATTTCCGATTGAGCCAAGTACGTCTATTCTCTCATGAGAGGCCGCATCCAAAAAAAGAACATCATGTTACTCTATATAGATGACTACACTTACGATCCCCCACAGTAACCAAAAAACATCCCAATATAGCCCCCATATCACCCCTATATCATCCCAATATAGCCCCTATAATCCCTCTTTAATAACCCCTTGTATATGATCCCTCATAGTAACAAGACTACTCAAGTGCCCATCCCCCGCGCCACGCAGGCCTGGGAAGTCTACATTATCGGCAAACGCAACCGTAAAAAGATTGCGGCAATTTACTTGGAAACCTGCGTAGCTTTGGCGTGGAGCGTTTAGACGAGATAAACCAGGACATCGGGTTGCGATTTTTGAGCTCGGCCGGAAATTTAATCCGCTAGGAGGGCCCTGCGAGTGAACAATTACGCTATGATTGCTGTTCTTGCAATTATCTACAAATCCGAGATGTCGCTGTACTGGCCCCTGCAGGCCCCGGCCCCACAAGTCACAACCTCCATCCTGCCCCAGAATGCCATGCACTACACGGTAAACCCTACATCGAACACTATATGCTTCATAGACACGCCATCCCCGCCACTTTATACCAGTATCCCAGTGAATGCCATGTCTGAGATAGGACCCCCCCTTTGACAAATTTGCACAAGTTATCCCAGCCTGCGCTGACACTCAGGCTAGGCGAAACGGGGGGGCTGAAAGATCCTTGCCAGGTATGCTTTTTATGGCTGCTTATGCAAGGCTGCTTTGAAGGTTCCATTGGGTATGCTCATACGGTCCTTAGGGTAACAAGCACGTCTGTCAAGCTTTATGACACATGTTTTGACCCTCAGAATGCTGTGTCAGCTTTTTATCTATCTGGCTTGGGGAGATCCGGGGTGCAGGCAGCAAGTGCTTTGCAACAGCAGGGCACAGACCCATCGCGACCTGCGCATTGTACGCCTTTCCCCGAACGCTATCAATACTAGCGTTATCATTATTACCAGTGCCCACGCATCATGAATCGCGAGCAAACACCCGCTGCAGCCCTTTGGTGCGCGAAAACGCGGAACACCCCTTGCAGAAAATGAAGGGAACCCCGGCTGTAAGCGCGAAGGCACTAACACTGTGTGCGACGAGCGTGCCGAGAGCAGGCAGGCAAGGCGAGGCGCTAACCTAAGGCGAACCCCAAAACCTAAAGAGAGAAACACGGGCTATACTACCAGTACTTTTTATCTTATAGCTAGAATCATAGAAATAAATCACAAATCTTTATGAGCAGTGCTGTCCTCAAATATTTTGCAGCGGTTGGAAAATAGTCGAAATTAGTCAACACATACGCAGCTGGAGCCACAAGAGCGTTCCGCCCTCCAGAAATACCATTACAAACTGCATCTGTAAACCAATATAGCCCCCAATCTCATCCCAATATAGCCCCTATATCACCCCTAGATAACCCCTTGTATATTTGCAAGGGGCAGAGCCTCGAGGTTGAGGAGGTCCTGTTTCGTTCGCATGGCCTGGGATCTGCCAGTGCTCCCACGAGGGTTTAGGGTTTAAGGGCTTAGGGGTTTAGGACTTAGGGTTTAAGGATTTAAGGGTTTAGGATTTAGGGTTTAAGGGTTCAGGGGTTTAGGGTTTAAGGGTTTAGGGGTTTAGGGTTTAGGACTTAGAGTTTAAGGGTTTAGGGGTTTAG